GCAGAGTTTCCAGGAGGATCTGCTCCATGATCTTGCCAGGCACAGAGGTGAGACTGACTGGCCTGTAGTTCCCTGGGTCTTCCTTCTTTCCCTTTTTGAAAATAGGGGTTATGTTTGCCCTTTTCCAGTCAGCAGGACCTCACCAGACCACCACGACTTCTCAAATATGATGGCCAGTGGTTTAGCGACTTTGTCTGCCAGTTCCCTCAGGACCTGTGGATGTATCTCATCAGGTCCCATGGACTTGTGCACTTTAAGGTTCCTCAGGTGGTCTCGTACTTGATCCTCACCTACAGTGGGCGGTTCTTCACTTTCCCAATCCTCGCCTTTACATTCTGTGTCATGGGCAGTGCGGCTGCAGTCCTTGCCAGTGAAGACTGAGGCAAAAAAGTTGTTTAGGACCTCGACTCTGTCTCTGTCCTGAATAACCAGTTCTTGCGTTTCCTTCCGGAGAGGGCCCACATTTTCCCTACTCTTTCTTTTCTCGCTGACATACTTAAAGAAGGATTTTTTGTTTGTTTAATCAAATAGTTGTAATACAGTGAAGGTCAGCATAAGTAGATAGTAGGTTTTGGATCTGTCTGTTTCACCTTACAGATTTAATTCAATATGAAGATGTTTTTAATTTTCAGAAACAAGTTCTCAGAATTTAAATGTGCTATTTCATTTCACGCAGCTGAAAAACAGTGGAACTACTTCTTCAGTGATGCATTAAAACCTCCCCTGTTTCACTGATGGTATATTTACATACACGGAAAGCTGTGCTTAATTTTGGTACCTTCTTTGAAGTTCTGTGAGCTAAGTTTGTAAGGAAGAGACTGTACAAGGTTTTCCAAACAAAGAGCTAAGCTTGTCTATGTTTTGTAGCAAATTTATTCAAGTCTTACTTTGAAATGCACTGACTTAGTTCTAAATTCTGAGTTCAGTGGAGTTCAAAGCAGGAGATCAAAATTTTGGGTGCACTCACTGCAAGACTTCTTTAAAAATGCTCTTGCTTTACTCTGATGGAATATGGACAATTGGTAGTACAGTAGTTAAAAACAGATGAATTGGATCAGAAGAAAACAGCACTGTTTTGTACATCTGAGTAGATTCCTAACTAGGCATTTTACAGCAAATATGTGGCTGCAGGTGGGTGTGGCTTTATTTTTTTAAGTCATGATTTTTTAGTCTGTGCATAGGTTTTGTTGATTCATCGAACAGGTTTACACAGTAATAAGGCTAACTATTTATTTTTTTTCCTCAACAGGTTGGAGCAAGAAGTAGAGCTAATTTAGCAGAGAAGGTCAGACTAAGTCTTCAATATGAAGAGGCAAAAAGAAGGTAATAGGGTTAGTTGCTTTGTTAAGTTACCGTCTTGAGTTGGCGAGGTCCTGGTCTCCGCAGCACCAACCTTGTGCTCGCAGTGACATCTAGTGGACGGCTCTCTGGAGGCACTGTGGGCTGACTGCAAAGTCTTTCTTTTCCTACAGAATGCAAGCAGGCTTTCAGGAGCAGTCGGTGCTTTTGAACAGCAGGTTTTGCATCTAATGCTACGTTGAATGTGTTAAGAAAGAAAATGCAGACAGCGACAAATTAATGGCAGTTCCAGGATTCGTAGAATCATAGAAATGTGTAGGTTGGAAAAGACCTTTAAGGTCATCAAGTCCAACCATTAACCTAGCACTGCCAAGTCCACCACTAACCCATGTCCCTCAGCACCACATCTACACATCTTTTAAATACCTCCAGGGATGGTGACTCCACCACTTCCCTGGGCAGCCTGTTCCAATGCTTGACAATCCTTTCAGTGAAGAAATTTTTCCCAATATCCAATCTGAACCTCCTCTGGCGCAACTCAAGGCTGTTTCCTCATGTCCTATCGCCTGTTACTTGGGAGCAGAGACCAACCCCCCTGGCTACCCCCTCCTTTCAGGGAGCTGTAGAGAATGATAAGGTCTCCCCTCAGCCTCCTCTTCTCCAGGCTGAACACCCCCAGGTCCCTCAGCCGCTCCTCATCAGACATGTGCTCCAGACCCCTCACCAGCTTCGCTGCCCTTTGCATTAAGGAAATAGAGTGAGCTGGCTTTACACTGAAGGGAGTTGCCAGGTTATTGATAACCGTTATATCCATCTTTGGGATCATCATTTCATTTTACTATGCCACTGAAGGCTCTTCAGTTTTAGAGTTGCGTCGGACTTCCAGTGCGGATTTATTAGGCTTAATTATTTCTTTTTTTTTCCCTGGGACTTCAGATAATTTAAATACTTGTTATCACTATGGGGTTGGTTTTTTTAATGAGTTTAACCTGAGGAGAAAAGAAATTGGGACCTGCTCCACTGATGAATGTGGAATGCCTTTCAAATAAAGCTCGGCAGTGGTTGCTCATGAAAGCGGTGCCATTTTGATGAATTGCCACAGCACTGTAGACTGGGCGTCAGAAAGCAGGACATTCGGGGTTACAGTGACATGTCTTCTGGTGCACCAGAAGTGCTGCATTATACCAGGGGAAGATTTACTATTTAAAAAAAAAAAAAGTGTGTGGGGCATATCTCTCTATAAATAGTGTATTGGTTGTGTTTTATTATTTTCTAATACTTTTCACTAAATTAGGTGTCCGCTCTTCAGAAACCTTCTAGTTTTTGTTAGAGTTGCTTTGTAATTTAAGGAGAATAGCAATCTAAAAAGTGATCCCACACCCAAAGTTCCGTTTTTACTATAAAGAACTAAACAAGGCAATAAAATAAAAAATAGCACTTTTCCACAGATGAAAACAGTGCGTAAAATGCCATTTAATCTCAGTTGGAATACTGTGGCATGGTCAATTAGAAAACTAGGAAAAGAAATTTGCAGCTTGTAAGTACAAATTAAAAGCATGGTTTTTATGTTTTAAATGCAGGAGGCTGCACAACCAACATTTTTTTTTTTTTTGCCTAATTGCGAATATATACCTTCCTTACACAAAGTAGTAGCTACCAGCCTTGCCGGTAACAACAGTAATCCTTTATATCCACATTACAGGTCATAAAACTTTATTATATAATCAATTCATTCAACAAAGAGTGGTAAGGCTGTTGTGTTTGTTAAGTATTGAACATGTATGATTTGTGCTCAGAATCGCCGTGTACATAATATTAATTGTCAGATGGTGTTTTAGATGCAGATAGATGGCATTTTTTCTCAGGTGTAGTTGATGCAAAACGAGATCATCCTCTGTTTTGACTATGTCTTGACACCAAGTAGTTCCAGCATTGTGTTTTATCTCTCCTTTGTAGGAACAGAAAAATTCCCGGCAGCAAGTCAGTTTACTACCCTATATTAACAAAAAAAAAAAAAATTACAATGTTCAGAATATGGAGTACTACAGCACAAGATCTTAATTCCTCACAAATTAGTCAGCCAATAATGTGGGTCAAAATTTCCGTAGCTCATGGACTTACCTTTGTGTAACTAAGTATTTGTTCTACATAACATTAGTGTGTTTCAAGGTTAAATTATCTCCTTTTAAATGGTATCTTTATTCAATTTTGTCTGAAAAGTGCCCAGTAATGAATATTCTTTTCAGCTTTAAATAAGACAATCATGTGCCTTGAAGACACTGTTAAAAGTCTTTAAAGTGTTTGCACATACTGGTTCTACCAGTGACTACAGGGTGAACTTAATAAAGTGTACATATCATGGAATAATGAGGGTACATACCAGTTTGCATATAAAGTACCTAATTACATCCCCCCTAATTATTATGGCCATTGTAACCATCACTATAATTTAATAAGTGTTGACCATCTTTTCTGAAATATTAAATGTGCAAATTCTTAGCTGTTTTGTTTTAAAATAACTAAGAGAAAGAGGATCTTATAAGTGAACCTCTCTACTGGAAAATAATCAGATAATTTTGTATGTTGTATATTTTATGTTGCTTAGCCAGCAGAACGTCTTCAAGAGGTGGAATGTTGATGTTAACTCTGCTAAATTCAGTTACAATTGCTATTCAAAAGGATCTGATGTAGCATGTTGACAATCCTCCCCTGATGTGGTGAAGATCTGGCTAATATTCCTTGTTGACCGGTTGAGTAAGCGCTTCCTCGAAAGAGCGAGACCGGTTCAGTTTTCATATCCATCTAGTCCTTTGCCTGTCTGATGAGGCAGTTGAAGAGAGTTACGGTAGTGGAGTTGTCTGTAGCAGAGGGAGCAAAAGAGCTGTTTGGAGACCACCATCCCATCCCATAAGCCATCAAACAGCTGTCAGTAGAAGCTACTTTCAGAACACGGTTAGCTAGAACCAGTGACCTGGAGATGAAAGTCTTAACATTTCATTATCCATCTGAAATTATTCAGTGGTTTTCCCTCTGAGTACTGCTCCTCTAAAGGAGTGTTGAATATAAATGATAAATGTAACAGCTGCAAAATATATTGAACTGCTTCGTTTCATTTCATCCCTTTGGTTATGGTAGCACTGCTGATAGTATTGCTGTTTATTTTACATTGTTTTTCTGCGAAAATACCCTGAGTCAAACAAACCCTTCTTGCAGGGGTTTGGGGAAAGTATGGGTTGTTTTCATTTTTGAAGCTGCTGTTTTTTTCATGGAGGTGCAGATGAGAAGGAAATGTTACCTGTGGAAAAAGAAAGGGGGGTGGTTCCCCTTAAGGTTCTGGTATAGGCAATGGGATAGTTAGATTCAATATTAACTATTCTTAGCTTTGACCATAAATAAATTCCTTAATGTACTGTTTAATTAATACTGGAGATGCAAAATAAGCCTCATATTATTAGTTTTGTTAATGACAGAAAACAAACTGGAGAGAAGAAAAATATTTTCCCAGAAATTTGTCAGAACTGCGGAAAGATTATACATACCAAATTATCTGTGTGTATCTTGAAGTATGGCATGGGTCAGTATGTTAGGTAGTGCCTGGTAACATTGAAGTTGCATCGACTTTGCGGTTGTTGAGCTGATTTAGGTGTATTGAACTATAGCAGTTACAAATAAATAAAAGTAACAGATCAGTTCCTCTTAAAGTCGTAGAATCATAGAATGATTTGGATTGGAAAGGACCTTAAAGATCACCTGGTTCAGACCCCCTGCCATGGGCAGGGACACCTCCCACCAGCCCAGGTTGC